AAGAACCATTTGTGTTCAAATTTCTGTGTGACCTCAGGGATGAGGGTCTTTTAGATGGGTGGCAACTGGGTCTCCTTTGACTTGCTTTGACTGTGTTGGGTCTTTTTCTCCTTTTTTATATTTCTTGGAACCTTTGAGTTGTGGTATTTCTGGCTCTCATTGTTTGTTTATCTCTCAGACTTGCCCCCTGAGGATAAGGATGAGTCCCAGAAGATAATGCTTTTTGGAGCTAAGTTGGCTCAAGGGCAGATAGAGGCCACAGTCATCGCTCTAGCCATTGCAGGAATAGTGCTCCTCCTGGTCGCCTGCTTCCTCCTGGGAGTGGTCATCTACCTCGAGAGACAAAAGAAGTTAAGACGCAATCGGAGGTCCATTCTGGATGATGGATTCAAACTCATGTCTAAAAAGAACTCGGGGCTATAAATGCCACGTACAAACTTTGGGCTGTGTGCTTGGAGCAGAGGCTGGGTTGTTGTTCACAACAAAGATTTTGGGGCATTATTTCAATTGTGCACTGTACTTCTAGAAGCTAAGGAGGGAAGGCTGAAGCCCTGTCCTCCTCGTACGTCCTCCTCAGCACTCTGTAAAGGAAAAGTCCATCCAGGAGAGATTTGAGGACCCTTTGAACTGACTGAAGACAAGAGGAGACACTTCCCCTATTTTCTTCTCTCCAGAGCAACTCCACGTGGTCTTTCTCAGCAGGCTAGCTTAGGCCAGATTCTAGTCTTGCTCCATTGCCAGAGCTGAGTTGGAAATTATCTCCCAAGAAACCGTGAGTCTTTAAAGTAATTAATCTGAAGGGGGAAGATAATCTTTTCAATGTTGTGAATCAATTAAGAATGCAGAAGATAAACTGTTAATTTAGATTTGGGTTTTGATGAGTAATTGGACAGATGCAAATTCAGGGCAGTACATGTCACAGCGTGAGAGCTCCATCAAGGACCATGACCACAGCTGTGCCTCACCGTCCGCCTTGCTGTGACACATCCTTCTGCTCTCAGCACCCCAGGCAATGTGCTTTGGTATCCAGCATCCTGTGACTTGTGGTGGGAGGAGCAGCTTTTCCAAGTGCTGCAGAGCATCCTGGTGACTTCCCTGCATTGCAGTTCTGTTGCTCTGGGCACGTGAGGGGCTGCACCCATGCAGCTCCTTGGGCAACAGGGTCAAGGATGCTGTTATGTTCCATGATGTAGTTTGCTCTTTCTTTCAAATATATTTTTTCTGAAATTATTTCCAGAGTTGAGCTGTTGCTGCGTTCCTGCTGTGAGCCAAAAGCCAAAGGGTCAGTCTGGTGTGAGGTGGAGTTTGTGCTTGGGACAGAAAAAGTCAGGGAGTGCTTCCCCCATCGTCGTGCAGTGGCAGATTTGTCCAGATGAATGTGGCAACGGTGAAGAAGGAGAAAGCTAAAGTGCTGTTGGAACACAGAACGTGGAGCAAACAGCTGCAGTCTGTGGAGCGTGAGGTGTGGCCTGAGATAAGGGAATGCCTGCTCTGAAGAGGGGCTGTGCCAAGGAGACCCTGGCCTTTTAGACAGCACAGACTCGCAGGTGTTGGGGATGGAGAGGCCTGTCCTGATAAATAAATGCTCATGGAGCATTGCTGTCGTCTGAGCCCTCGGTGGCTGATGACAGTCCCCATGGGGAGAGGAGCTGGGTGTGGGGGGAGCCCGCTCAGAGCTGGGAGGCGATGGGGACATGTGACTCCCTCCCCTGCACTCTGGGCTACAGCTACCTGCAAGGAACCAAGCTGGGGGTGGGTGGTGTAGCCCATGACTAACACAGAGCTCTATAGCCCACCCCATGGGCCGTGGTGGCCATCTGCCAGCCCATGCACATCGCAGCCGTGTCACCCTGCACGTCAGGTACCAAGCAGTTCCCTATGAAATATCTAACTTCCTGGCTTACACACCAAATCCCAATTATCTAAGTGGATGCAGGTTAGTGCTTACTTATTTCCGTCCCTGGTTTTGAACTAGAAAGGGTGTAAAATAAATCCTTTCTGGGCAGCTTTCAGAGGCAATTAAAGCAGAGCCAGCTAAATGGCTGTAATGACAAGGGATGGCTGTAGGCTATTTAGGTATAACAGCACCATTTTATTTAGAACAATGGTTATAACATACTTAATCATGCTCAATTCATATTGGATCCCTGCATATTTCCAGCTGCCTTTTCCTTTGGCAATGGAGACAAAGCTCATTAATTTCCTTTCATTACACTTCATTAAGCCTGGTGAGGAGCTGGAGGGCTGTTGAATGCTCTGAACATAGGTACTCTTTGCTGGTTGTCAACCCTGGTTCAGCTGCTCTTGCAAACCAGAGGTTTAGGAGCCCACCAGTGTGCCATCAGAGGTAAGAACCAAGCAGGAAACTCTTTTTTTTTTTTTTTTTTTTTTTTTTTCTCCTCCTCCTTTGGCTTCTGAAAAAAATGTTTTAAGCCCACACTGAGACAAAAGAGTTATTGTAGATGTATTTCTTCAGGAAAGCTAAAAGAGAGAAGTCAACCATTCTTCAGTTCTTCAGCCAGTACCAGGGCACTAAGCCTGGGGTTCAGTGCTGGCTCTGAAGCTGGGCAGCACAGGGAGTGGAGCTGGGTCTCCAGATTTGCACGCATTCCTTAAACAGCAGGATGCCAAAATTCCTCCAATGTAATGTTTTTTGGGCCATGTGGAGCGTTGGTGGCAGAGGTCTCCTCTCCTGCGCTGGCAGTCAGGGCACTCCTAACCCACAACCTAGAGGAGGCCTCAGCTGAGGGGCTGCATCCTCTGATAAGCAGTTCCACCCCAGACTGAGAAAACGCAAGGAGAAAGCTTTGGACAAAACAGATCATTTTGCTAAACCTTTCTGTTGCTACAGACTGTGACGAAGAACAGTTTATCAGCAACTTCACAACTGCCTCTAATCAGAAGTTGGCTCTCCCAGCCAGTGGGTGCATGAGGAGGAGGAGGAGAGATGTTTCACAGTTCTGGTGACTCTGAGCTGGAGCCTGTGAACAAATGTGTGTTTGCTTTGGCCAAGCCTTCTGTCTGAGCATCCTGCAGTGTCTTGTTTGTGCTTATCCCTGGTGCGTGTGTGTCACCGTCTCAAGAAGATGGTGAGGTGGGCAGGATCAGGGTCCTGGTGCTGCTGCTCCACTGGGAGATGCTGGGGTGGCAGTAGCTCCCATGCTGAGCCAAAGCAGCAGATCATGCGAGTGCTTCTTTTGCCAGTGCAAAAAAAAAAAAAAAAAGCCTAGCTAAGACAAAACTGCTCTGTAGTGGCTCAAGATAAATGGTTCTCAATACTACACACTGCAAAGCGGTAGAAGTGCTC